TTTTTTTTTTTCCTGCTTCTGTTTAGTGTTTGTTTTCCATCTCCTTTACCCTGATTAATTATTTTTCTGATAGGAGAGAGGCATTCAACTTGATGAGAATCTTGAAATTGATGAAGAAACTCGGTTCTCCTCAGTCCGCCGGAAAGTCGATGACAGTGGTTATGATGAGGTTGAGAACATTTTGCTGGATTCTCGAAATGATGAAACATTTGGAGATGTATCCAGTACTATTATTGGCAAACCTCCAGTAGAAGCGATCGTGGTGAAATCTCATGATGAAACAAAAGCATCATCTAGATCGTTATTGACGGTATTATTTTCTGTTAAGATAGATTTTCGTACCAGATCATTTGCCCAATTTAGGCTCTTGTTGGTGTTTCTTTCCAACTTTTGTTTTACTTCTATTTTAAAAATGGTTTAGGATGGACTAAGGTGGGTGATTCAAGGAGTTCAACTGGAAATGAATGCCTGTACAAATATATAACCCACAATATTGAAATACTAAAAATTATTGTTCTTATTCTACTCCTATCTTTACCACACACATGCGTTCGATTTTTGTTGAAACTACTCACTTCACTTAAATGGGATTCTACTTAATCGCTAGTTCACTAAAGTTCCTGTTTTGAAAAACAATTGGAGCTATACTGGGTTAATATGACCTATGGTATCTATTACCACAGTTGTCGTGCTTTTACTCAAATAATGCATCAATAAACTTCTTCTGCTTCTTCATCTTTTTGAGATATTTGATTTCTCTGATTAGAAAGAAACAGATGGCAAGTTAACGAATTAAATATTACCTTAATGTGCATTGAAAGGGATAGATGATTTGAAAGGGCACCACATAGAAGGCACCTTACCTAGTGATGTATCAGAATGTTTGCTGGGTCTTTATCCAGTTTTATGTTTCTTTTTCTTTTTCTTTTTCTTTTTTTTTTCTATACTATTATAATTTAACAATCAGACATAGTTCATAATTCTTCTGTGTAGTATGAACTGGTTGTTTAATGTTTACTTAATCCAGTGCCTTTATGGGATAATGGACCTATGGTTTTCCTCAACATTTGTGTTTCTTGCTGTAGGGAGAAATGCCAACTTCTCTGTTAACTGATCAGCTTTCTAATCAGCCGTCGAATGATGAAAGCAGGTCTATATTCTATCTTCTGAGATCTCAGAATTGTGGTCCGGTTCTGTTCTGTCAGGAGAACTTGATGTTTATATTCTATCTCAATTCTGAGATGATGATATATTCTTTTTTAGTTATTATTTCTTGTCTTCAAGACTGTCCACCTGGTTGCTAAGTTGGAGTATTTTCATTCAGGGGTCACAATAACCAATCTGTTGGACATGCAGAAAGCAGTTGCACTGAAGATAAGGAAAATTTGGTCAGTATATGCTTACTCCTATGAAATTGGCTCCTGTTTCACTAACGAATTATACTTCCTCATTGTTGTATTGTCGATTTAGTTATTTATGAATTTTCTTTGTGCAGGTACATGATCAGAGTGGGGCACCAAATTCTGAGAGTGAGTGAATTTTCTTATTGTCTATTTGTGCTGGTTATATTTTGCCTGATAATTCTTGTGGTAATGTATATGATTTTGTCCGAGGTGACATTTTCACCGAATTTTACTTCCTTTCTCATTTGAAAGTGAGACTGTTTGGGTCTGGATGGTGTTTTCTCTTGATATTCTACTGGTTTTCCAATTTTTGTTGTCTGAGGAGGTTCACCATCATTCTGGAAGTGAGCAAGTTAAATGATGAACACTTTTAAATGTTATCAGTCATTCGCTGTGATCTTATAGGAAAATGTCTGCTGCTTTTTCCAATTTCTAGAATTTGATGAACTCAAATTTACTGTTTACTAACAATTTTTTTTTTCCTAACATTACAAAAGGAATAAAATAAAACAAATGATTAAACCTTGTCATGCCTCTTTGATATGCAGGTTCATTTAAACCTTGATTTCCTTGTGCGCTCTTTTAATCTTGTTTTCTTTATCAGAATGGAATTTGTTTTATAGTAGACTGGAATCGGGAATTAGTTTGAATGTACAGTTTGATCAAATCTCCTGAAATATTTGATATGTTATGATTGGCCAATTCTGTCAGTTTCGTACTTTTGCCTTTCTTTAGAGTCAATTTTCCTAGTTTTTTGTTATTGACTTTTAAAGTTATACCAAATCTGACATCAGTAGTAACTATGTTGCTAGCAGATTCAGATGCAGAGTTGAGAATAAAGAATGAAAGCTCTGATAAAGTTGCACTGTCTCCAAATGCCACTGCATTCGATCCAGCACATGCATCGTCCAAAGGTCAGGAAAAGGCAAGCTCTTCTAATGAGTTCTCAGAGGGTGCAATGCCGCAAAAAACAGCTGGTTCTCTTGCACGACCTGGTAGTTCCGCCTCATCTGCATCCGACCGTGGGGGTCCCACTTCAACTTGTGCTGGCCGAGGATTGTGCTCAAGTTCGTCTGTTGGTTCATTCTCCTCAGAGAAGTCGACCTTGAACCCACATGCTAAGGTGGGAGAAGTAAAAACAGAAATGTTTCTTCTATTAGCGCCTTTGTTTTAGCCCTATATTTTTGGATAATACAATGCTTCCCCAAAGTTCAGCCTAATCGTTAAAACTTCCTGAAATCTATCAAGTACATATGTCCTGTTGAAGTGTCCCCCTTGAGGAATCTATTTACCTAACAAGTTTATGGTCTTGGGATTGTAATTCGAAAAGCAGAAACTAATGTGGAGAGGATATTTATAGTTTTGGAAATCATTGTTCTTTTTCCCCCTCTTATCTTTCTATTACTAGAATTTAATTTGCACGGACTTGCCGAACAATTTGTTCTTCAGCTGGGCTATCTTCTGTGATGCTAAATTTTGTCTTCAACCACTGGATTTTACGCCAGGAATTTAAGCTGAACCCGAAAGCGAAAAGTTTTGTCCCGTCTCGTGCACCTGTGAGACCTTCTTCTCCAGTAGCTGATGGCTCCTTCTATTATCCAGCTAATGTGGCACCTGTGACACAGATGCATGGAATGCCTGGTGGTATTGGGGTAAGTATGAAGGTTTTTAATACTGATCGATTTACATTCTCCTTATGTATCTATCATGTGACTTGTGGGTAATATGGTTTGATTTTGTAGCATATTGACTGTAATCACTCTTAAAGTGTGATAATGGTATTTGATATATGTGTTCTCTGAGTTCTCTTCTTACTCATCAAATTGTTGCATGTTCTCATATTGTTATTGTGGTATCATCTAACAAGGAGGGGAAGAAGGATTAGTATTAGTGAAGTTACTGTAACTGTGTTGGTATGGTAGAATGAGAGGAAAATAATGTTCTGGATCTTCACATCATTTGCATTCTTCATGATCATTTTTGTTGAAACTATATATTTCTGACACCCTTTATTGTTACTCTGGCTTTACTTTTTTGGAGGTAATTACATGAACTACCCTTGAGTTTGGCTTCATTTCACTTCACATGAAACAAAAAAAGAGCTACTGTTTATCGATCAAAAAAAAAAAAAAAAAAGGAACTGTCATTTAAAATACATAAGCCCCTTATTCTATGACAACTCCGTGATGGATTTGTATCTCCTTAACAAATGCCCTGCCAAGGATGTAGTTTGTGATAATACAGAAATAAATATTTGTAATTTTAAAATCTAGCTGTTTCATTGTAACTTATTTTGCATGTTAATTAATTAATTTACGTCTAGGGTGTTTCTGTAATATAATTTTGTATTTTTGTAATTTTTTTTTTTTTTATTCAGATTGGACCTTCTTTCACTCCACAACAGGCAGTGGTGTTCAATCCACAAGCACCAATGCCACCACCGTATTATCATCCAAACGGACCTCAGGTTTGTTGTGTCTGGCTGTCTCTAAATATCTGCCCATAATTTTTCCTGATTTTATATATTCCTGTGGAATCTTTTAATTAATTGGGTGTTCATGATGCAGTATGGGCAGCAGATGATAATGGGGCAGCCTCGGCCAGTCTTGTACATGCAGGCATATCCCACTGTAAGATAAATCTCCTCTGCTTAATTTGTTTTGATTTGATAAATTTGTTTGGTTAGGTTAACCCACCATTTGAGGAGCTTTATAGAAAAACGCAAAATATTTGTCGTTCCCTTCATATGTGAACTTTAAACAGGGACACTAAGAGTGATAAAGTGTCGGTCTAGATTCAGAGGGTCTCGGCCATATGCATGTGTTGTAGTAAGCCAATAGCTGGTAAATAGTAAATGGGTGAATAGTAAAGTATGGAACTATGGAAGTAAAAGTGTCTATTTCATTTTTTACAGTTTTGACATACAAGTAATTCTTTCATATTGTGCAACTGCAAAAACACTGTTAAGGTTCAGTCTAAATACAACCTTTTGTTTGTACTGCCAAAAATGGCTAGTCCTTGCAAAAATTGTTACTGGTGGACTCTGTTTATTTTTTTTCTTTTGTTCTCCCATTTGTACCTTTACAGTTTGTTTTTTTAAAATTATTATTTGATTTCAGGAAATGCCATACAAGGGAAGGGAGTTTTGACCGATGCTGAAAAACGGTCAGCCTTTACTCGTCTCATCGTCTGTGCCCACTGCAGACTTGTCAATTTAGTTTAACATGAATTGGAGTCTGACAAGGTTCCTTCTTATTCTGGAATATAAACTGTTCTAACGTGCAACTTTGTTGCTTGCATTTTTCTTCTCTTTTCGATCGTCTTTTTTCTCCTTCATGTATTAGCTTATTACAATGTGAAACTATTATGATATTTATTTATAATTTTATTTTTATTTTGTAAATAAAACTGTCCATCCTCATTCTTCACCTCATCCTCTCTCTCCCGGGTCGAATAAAACTGTGCATCCCTTGCGCATCATGTTATCAATTATTATGGCGAAAAGTTATTGATAAAATTGAGTGAAAGGTTGATATATTGATGAGAATGTATGGATGAAAAATAATTATGGAGACTGTTGAGTTAAAACATAAAAAATGTTCATAAATACATAGTAAACTTCTTTTCTTTTTCCGAATAAATAGATAGTAGGCTCAGTTGTTCATTGTCTTCTCTAGATTCTACTCTTGGGTTTACGCAACATTCCTTTGGATCAGCATTTGAAATATTTGTTCTTTTCTTGTGGATTAACCTTTTTTGTGTAAAATTCTATGTATTATACTTATTTAAATAAAGTATCATTTACATTCCAAATGTACTAGTATAAAAGATATATAGAATAGAATAATTATTACGCATTGAATGTTATGCTTGCATTGAATGTTATGATTGAATTTGTATCTATACTAGTATTTAACTCGTGCATTGGAACGGAAAGTGATTTATTGAAAGTGTAAGTAATACACATATAAACAAAAGTAAAAATCATAATTTCATCCATGAAAAACTAATAATAAATAAAAGAATTTTATATATTATTAAAAATTTGTTTATATACAACATTTATGGTTTTCCTATCGTAAGAATTTTTGTCGCAACAAATCATTATCTTCAAACTTTTTTGATTGGCGAATTTGGAAAATGCCGCCTACGACTCTCCATGACTAAAAAAAGGATTGTTCAGTACAAAGTCAACATGCGACAGAGACAAGTCTCGACTCTTATTGATTGTCATAGCATATGAAACTGTGACAGAAAATTATTTTCGCTGAAACTTGAACAATACATCAAATTGAGAGATATGATTCTGAGCCTAGGAATAAAAATTTTATCTCCAGCGTTGGCACCGGTTAAAATTTTGCATTCGAAGACATAACTGTTGAGTTTAGTAATAACCAAACGTGTGTCGTTGCACAACCTTATAGAGTGATCAATGTCTTTCAGCATCATCACTAGAGTGCCGACCTTTAAGTGCAATTTATGATTCGGAAGTCCTGAGCACTTAATTCTATTCATAAATTCAGGAGTATGAAGACATGAAGATAGTCATATCCAGCATCTAACTTGCAAGCAGTGTCCGAACTCAAATAAGTCCTTTCATCGGAGGAGTTCAATGAGTCCATGTACTCGTTAACGGACTCAACGACATTAGCTAAGATCGTTAATTGAACTCCTGAACATCGGGTAGGTACTCTCAATAATAGTAGTAATATGATTTTTTTTGTGATTTTAAAATAATTCATCGAGAACTTTGATATTGGCATAGTCGTCTTTCGATCCACCGATTGTACGATCTCCAATGCTAGCAAGCCATTATGAGAAGTGCCTCTACTCATCGTACTCATCACTCGCACCAAGGCTTCGAAGCTTCATATTCCTAGTCAGTCTAAGAACGGTACAATCCCATCACAACTTGGATGAATTGATCGTGGCAATCAATATACCACTACTACTGCCTTTAGTAATAACATGCAACATTTATCTGAAATCCTCACCAAATACAACAGACTTGCCTCCAAATGAGAGATTTTTCTTGGATGGATCCACTACCTCCATTAAAGCTTCCAAGGTATTCTCAAATGCCTGAAAGCAACACTTATTCATCATCCGCGCTTAATCCCTAATGATCAGCCGACATCGTATAATCGATTCATCTAACGGGCTTTGCTGGCTATAGTCGTATGTAGATCCTTCGATTGGGTTTAGTTGGATTCTGAACTGAGAATGCATAGTGCGTTCGTCGGACAGTAAAAGTGACGCGATATCGCTTGATGCAACATTCAACACTATTTCGCCCTTGGAACTCAAAGCTAAAGACAACGCCCTCCCAAACATACGTTTTATCGGTGCCTCCATAACCGTAAACTAAAAAGATGCGGTCGTGATTACAGTAAACCGAGCAATCAATTATTAGTACTACTCAAAAATCATGAAAATAAGTAAATGCAATTAATTAGATTTGAAGTAATGTTAAATATATTCTAAGCTTGATTTTGACCTTATCAATATATAGTAATAGCCAAAAATCAAGAAAAAAAAAAGTAAATACAATATTTATATTATTCATATTTAAAATTATGGAAAATATATTTCAGCTTGACTTTGACCTTATCAATCTAATTCCCAAAAATAAAGAACAAAAGTAAATGGAATGTTGAAATTATTCTGATTTATTATTAGGCCTAATTGTCAGTAATATCACGACCTTACAATTTTTTGTCGTTTTAACTAAACTTTTGGAATTTGGCAAACATAACATGACTTCGTCTATTTTTTGACAATTCGAATCACATGGCCCAATTTCGGGCTTTGTCTGTTGACATGGCTGATGACATGGCGATTTTTTATAATGTGGCGAATAATTTCAGTGGAGACGAGATTGCACCGAATTCGAGGGTGAATCTTTTTTGGGAGGGGGAGGATGATGGAGATGAGATTGCGATGGCCTTTTTGGACAAGCACGATTGTTTAACATTATTAGTTTAATTATTTATTTCCTTTGTTTTATTTATTTATTTTATTTGTTTTAATTTTTAGTAAGGGTATCCTCGATCTGTTAGGAAACTTATTTATTTTATTAGAGTCTTTTACTTTGTTGATATCTTTCTCGGTAATTATAATGATAAGGTTGTAAAGTCGCTAATTCAGCCACGATGGGAGCTTAATGCATCCAAGTGTACACACCTCAGATTTAATGAAGTAATAAACGACGTCATCCTCTGACTACAAGACAACATGACGGTTAATTTCCTACATCAACCGAGGTCATCTTTACAACAGAGATCTCGCCAACCGAAGTCTAAGAAAGTTGACTTTCAACACTACAAGGCAACGATTATCCAACTAGTCATCATTCCTGTTGTCCAGTTGGCAGACAACCGCATCCGGAAAGTTAGTTTGCATTAAATGCAATCACGTCTACCTCGTACGATTGGTCAACCGCACTATAAATAGCGGAATTAATTATTAAAAGAGGGCACTTTTCTCTAAGACTTGTACAAAAAATATATGATATTCCAAAAAAATATAACGCCGTAACCGACGTCTTGTACGATCAATATTTCAAGCAATAATACAATTTCTCTAAATTTCGACTACATTATCGCATAATCATCGTTGTTAATTTCCGCATAACAACAATTTGGCGCTAGATGAATGACTCATTAGTATTTTTTAGGTTAATCTTCGTGTTTGAAGTCACAATCTGCATATACGCCGGCAACTAATGTATCTCCCTGTAATCACGATGTCACAATCCGGACGAGAACGGACTTCCCAAGTCGGACGTAGCCATAATAATAACCACTCAGTTGGACGTACAACACAAGCACCAATCATGCCGGATTCACAACTCTATTTCAAAACCCGGAATCATGAATGGCTTTTCATCACTTATGGCTCAAACACTTCATGTTGCATCAGCTCTAGCTCAGGGACAGTCTATTCTTCCTGTCACTCCGGCGATGCAGTCAAATCCCCCAGTACAAAATCCAATTGTGCGCGCAACGACATCACATGCTACGTCACAACCACGTTATGAATCTCCTCGTCGAGAAGAGATGACTCAACCGTCGAATAACCATCGATCTGGAGTTGCCGATCCATTGGCAACAAGAAATCAAGAAATTATGGCGGAAAGTCACTCGGACCACCATCACAGAGCTCCTGTACATGCACAACCAGACTTACCATCACCCGTTAGTTGCGAGGATCTACGTCAACACATCGAGAGAAGTCGCTTAGCGAGATAAAATTCAGAAGAATTGAAAATTTTACGTAAAAAGATGGCAGAATTGGAAGCCATGCTGAAGTCTCAAGAAGAATCACCTCGACATCTATCAACCTCGGGTCACGTATGCATGAAAGATGACTCTCCCCTAGCACCTGAACTAACGGCGGAGTCACTACCTAGTAAGATTAAAATTCCTCAAATAGGTCTCTATGATGGGACCTCGGATCCAGACGCCCACATGGGTCATTATACATCTTGGATGGATTACATGGGGCGTCGGACGCCTTACGTTACTGCTTTTTTTCGCTTACTCTGGGGCCACGTGCTCAGAAATGGTACTATTCATTGCCACGACATTCAATATGGAAATGGCAATAACTAAGGTCGACATTTCAGTCTCACTTTATTGGTGCCCAGGTTTGCCTAATCCCAAAAGAGTCGATTGCCAATATTGTACAAAAATATGGTGAGAGCGTAAAAGATTATGTGTCTCGGTTTAATGAGCGTGTCCAGAATATGGAACCTTGTAATCCCGAGACATTATTAGTGACTGCGATTGCCGGCTTAAAACCAAATTCAATGTTTCGGTGGACTCTATGTCAAAATAAACCGAATACCTTTCAAGAATTTCTGGCACGTGCTCAGCTATATCTCATCGCCGAAGAATCTATGTCAGTACCGAATTTTGATTTCTCTGTTAAAGAAACAAAGCCGGAATCCCAGAACAAGAAGAAAAATAAAAAGAATTTTATTGGCAACTCAGGAAAAACTCAATTCCGAGGTTACCAGCGAGGAGGTGCAAGCAATCCTAAGTCGAAGGCAACTCGGGACCAATATGCCGAGGATGTAAAGACGGGCTACCAAACTATCTATTCGGCAAAGAGGATCCAAATAACTGAGAAGGAGGTATTCGCTTTT